GGGCGAGGGGGTCAGCGCGCAGGCGAACGGCAAGCGGGCGTCAGCCTGAGCAGACAGGGACAAAAATGGGGGAGGGGGAAAGTGCGAAAAGGGCAGGCGGATGCGAGGCCGGATACAGCCAGGGCGCCAGGCGAAGGGACACTCCACGAACCGAGAGAGTCAGTGTCCCGTCATCACCGGGCCCGATCTCGCCGACCGAGTCACGCGAGGCATTTGGCTGCAGCCGGACATTGATCAGAAGCCCACCGTCCTTGGTTGGCCGGATGAGTAGCGTCGACAAGTCCACCCCTCCACCTGGGGGGCTGCTTTCGCCGGTGGCCGGGGCTTTTTTCCGGCTCATGGTACGGTAGGTGGCGACAGCGGCAGCGGTGCCGAGCGAGGTACTGGAAACACTGGGACGAAGGGTGGCAAAGGGCAATAGGCGCCGCGTGAGGAGCATCCAGCCAGGCAAGCAGGAGGCGCCAGCAAGTAGAAGCGAGGGTCGAGCAAGGGGAGCGGGGTGGAGGAGGGGCGGTTTTCTGAGGCCAGGACCGGCTTGGGCCGGGCGATGGCTTCTCAAAAGAACATCGATCCCACGCCACGAATCGGAATAATTCGGCCCCCCACAGGACCGGGTTCGGGAGATCTGCCTCGCGCTGGCCCCACCCAAGAATAGTGGGGCCTGGGGGGGGGGGGGGGGACATGACCCCGGGTCGCGAGCACACTGTGGGCGATGCGTTGGGAAGCGGCCTTTCTTCTTTTTTATTCTCCCTCTCCCCCCCGCGCCCCCATCCGGCCCTCAGTGCGCCGGCCTTTGTGCGTTGGTCTCTCGACGGCGCACCACCCCGCCCCCCCAGAGGCCGTGTGCCCAGATGGCTTTTTTCCAGCTCCAGCCTTGGGACGCCTCTGCAGCCCATGCCGGCCCTCCCTTTCCCTCCCAAGGGCGGGCGCATGCGCCCGCCCGCAGGGCGTCACAGCCACCTTCCACTGTTTCGTCCCGTGCACGCATCTCTCCGCCGATTGCGCTTCGCCCAGGCCGCTGCACCCCGACAGAAGAGGGACATTTGTGCTTTTATTTGGCCAGTAGGGCAGGGCCACAGGCGATGCCACGTACTGCATAGGCCCGCCTTATCGGCGTTTCATGGTGATGAGTCCCCGGTGGCCGGATTGGCGGTTGGGGGTGTGGCCATATGCGCCTTCAGCGACGCTCGAGCTCCGCCTCGTCGATGTCCATCTGGTCGTCGTCAAGGTAGATGCTCGAGGACTGGGGAGAAAGGGCCAGAGCGAGGGAGGGAGGGAGAGAGAGAGAGAGAGCAAGTTAGTCAGTATGCCCAACGGAAAAAAGGGGGGGGGGGGCAGAGGGTGGCCCAGGCGCACCATCTGCCAGCACTGGATGACATTGTCGTCGGCGGTGGAGGCCATCATCATCGGGATGTTCGGGTTCCAGGAGATGTCCGACACGCGGTTGGTGTGCCCACCGTGGATGAACTAGCCAGTGGCCCAGAGGGTCCGGCGGGGGGACGGCCGCGCGCGCGGGAGGTTGGGGGTGGGGGGACAGAGGAGAGGCTGTGTCAGAGGCCGCTGCTGCAGGTGCATCGCACACGAGGAGCCGAGGAACATGTAAACCCAAATATACACACCATCAGCTCCGGCGGGCCATCGTTCGCCTCCTCGGAGGTCTGCTCCTCGCCGATGCGCGACATGTCCCAGATGTGCACACGGCGGTCGTGCGCCGCCGAGGCCAGGATGGTCTCGTAATGCGGCGACCAGGCCACCTGCAGCACCTCCCCCGAGGGGTACTCGCAGGAGTGGAGCTTCTGCTTGAGGTTGCGCATGTCCCACAGGGCAACGCTCTGTGGATTGAATTCGCCCAGGGGGCGCGGGGGACGCGTGTGTGTGTGTGTGTGTGTCAATAGAGGAGTCTGGCCAGCTTCCCGAGGGACAGGGGGGAGGTGACGGAGGCGGCACAGGAGCAAGGCAACTCGCGCAAGGGAGCCAGCAGGTTGTCGCCCACATACCTGGTCGCTGGAGCCGGTGGCCAGGAGGTGCTCGGAGAAGGGATTAAAGGAAAGGGAGTTGACGCAGTCATCGTGGGCCGTCACGGTCAGAGTATTCTTGCGGGTCCGGCTGTCCCACAGCCGAAGGGTCCGGTCGTCGCCCACCGAGCCGAACAGGTGCGCCTGGACGTTGTGCCACGCCACCTCGCCCACCTCCTTGGTATGCCCCTCGAAGGTGAAGAGAGGCGCCAGCGAGCCGGCACCCTCGGGCCCGGCCTCGGCGGCTGCCGCCACATCCCACAGACAGATGAGCTTGTCATCCGCCGAGGAAAGCAGCAGGCCCGACTGGTTGCGGTTCCACGAGAGACCGTAGCTGGGTGGTTCAGACGGGGGGAGTTGGTGAGAAGAAAAAAAGAAAGGAAAAAGAAGCACCGAAAGAAGAGGCACGGTGCGAAATCAAGCAGCCAATGCGGGAAAGAAGGGACAGTGGAGGAAGAAAAGAAAAGAAGAGACCCCCGGCCCGCGATGCAGGCCGGCCCGAGTTTGGCCGCCCTTGCCTGCTGTTACCATGAGCAGGGGGGGGGGGGGCGGGTCTCGTCGGGCGCAAGGACGCACCCCTCCTTCGAGTGCCCGGTCAGACGCATGGTGGGCCCCTTGGTGTCGTCGCGCGCCGCGAACTTTGTCGTGTCAAACAGGTGCACCTGTCCGGAGATGGTCTTGGTGGCGATCATGTTCGGGTTCTGCGGCATGTACCGCGCGCGGTTGATCTCCCCCTCATGGGGAATGCACTGCTCGATGGTGATCTTGGTGCGACGGGGCTCGGCTGGGCAGTGGAACGAGAACAAGGGGGCGGCGCGAGGCGGCGACCGAACACAAGGCAAGGGCGAAAGGAAGGCCGACGAGGCGGCGTCAGCGGCAGCCAAGCTTCCGGGGGAGCTGCGGCAATGGAAGAGAAGGAAGGAAAGTGCCCCACAGCGAACGCACCACCGGACTCCTGGCGGCGGAACTGGAAGACCGTCGGGTCGTTGGGGGACACCTCAACCGAGGGCAGCTCCAGCTGGGCAATCATCAGCATGTTCTCCGAAGCGGACTCCGGGTCGGTGTGCGTGCCGAGGATCATCCACGACGCTCTTCCGATCTACTGGAAGACCGTCGGGTCGTTGGGGGACACCTCAACCGAGGGCAGCTCCAGCTGGGCAATCATCAGCATGTTCTCCGAAGCGGACTCCGGGTCGGTGTGCGTGCCGAGGATCATCCGGTGGATGGTCTCGTTGGGGCCCCTGCAAGGAGGAGCGAAAAGCGGTCAGCGGACATGTTCCACGGGCAGGGCCCAGAAGGGGAAGAGGGCCCAGGGAGGAGGGCCCAGGGAGGAGGGGAACGCCGGCGATTGCCGCACGGCCAACGCACTCGGTCATCTCCGGCAGCCACTCAATGGTCAGTGAGGGCCAGCTGAGGGCCTTCATGATGACCATGTCATACAGGAAGGGGGTGTTCTTCTTCCAAGTCTTGTACTCGTCGTTGATGCGCTTCTCGGCAGCCACATCGGGCAGGGAGCCGGCATTCGGCTCTGGAGACATGCTTCCGGTGGACATACTGGCGAGTGTGTGTGGGTGTGTGCGTGGAGAGGCCCAAGGGGAGGGGGGGGGGGAGAGAGGGGGGGACGAATGCAGGATGGGAGGGGTTGGGGGAGGGAGAAGGATGGAGAGAAGATCGCTGGCTCCGGGCTCGGAGGCCAAAAAAGGTATGCTGGCCGCCAAAAAAAAAAAAAGGCACACCAGGCGCATGCCCTCTCGCACAGGGACAGAGAGATTGGTACCCAGCCTCAGGCGTGAAAAGGAGGAGGGAGCGGGGGAGGAGGCGCCGGCGGCGATCGTGTGCCTGCGTGCGCACTTCCGCGACTGCGGGGCCGCCTCATGCCGCCCTAGTCCTCGGTGCGGTCGGACCAAAGATGCCCAGGGTGTCAGGGCCGGCTGGAGGGCCGGTGCGGGTCCTGGTTGCCGACGCACCCGCCATTCAAATCCCCCCGGCGCCGGAGTAACGCCCAGCCGTCGGTCCCGGAGCAAGGTGGAGGGAAAACAAATTCACCAAGGCCGGGCGTGATGCGCCCCGTGACATTCTTCAACATCACGTCCCCAGGAGCCGATGCGTGCGTGCAACCCTCCCGAAGGCGCCATCCACGCTCGCCCGGTCCCCCCGCCCCGAGCCTTGCGCCGGGCAGCGGGGGAGCCTGCGTTGCCGGACAGCGGCGAACCATGCGTACACAGTGCCGCCCCTGCTCCCCCCCCCCCCCCCCCCCCCCCCCCGCCCCCCCCCCCCCCCCCCCCGCCAGACACACAGCCCCGGGGAGGGCTAGGCCGGTCGCCCCTGCCCCGAGCCCGGCTGTCTGATCCCGCGAGGCCCGAACGCGGCTCCGGCTGCTCCGGTCAAGACTGGCTTCGCCGAGGGAGAATGTTGCATCATCAGCACACAGCCACACGGGCACCAACACACGCGCACACATAGGCGGCCCCCACTTTGGGTTATGCGCCAGCAGCCCCTTGATCCAGGGTGCCGTCTGCCGCGGTGACCAACCCGCGTGCCGGTGCTTACCAACAGCACCCTCGTGTGTCGGCCCGGCCTCCTCGGCCGTCCTCTGCCGTCCTCGGCCGTCCTCCGCCAAAGTGTGAGCTCTGGTTTGGGGGATGGATCTTCGGATGGCTGGGACTGGGCTGGGGCAACGTCGGAGGGGGGCGGGGGATGGGGGATGGGGAAAGAAGGCGGCCTGGCACACGCATGGGCCCCCACCCTGAGGGGCGTCGGATATCATGGCTCGCTTCGTGGGCATCCGCCAGGTGGTGGTGGTGGCCGCTCCACATGTGGTCCCTGGCTCCCGTCGCCACTTTGCCCTCCCGCCAACAGAGCAAGGGCCGCGCTGGGACGGCGCCGATCTGTCCGCGCACGCGCGCCCATGCTTTTTGTGTGACGGCGTAGGGAATCGCCCCGGTCCGCGGGTGCAGCCCCATCTTGCTTCGCGCCTCTTCCCCCCCCCCCCCCCCCCCCTCTACCCTCCCTCTTTTTGCTCCCCTCCCCTCTCCACGAGATTGCCTCCCGGGTCCAGCTGTCTCTGCCTCTCCACTTTCCTTGCCGCCGCGCCTCTCCCCTCTCCCTCCCTCTCTCCCTTCGTTGTTTCTTGGCCCCCCGCGCACCCCGGCAACCGGACCGCACAAAGCTCCCATCACCATGGAGTACATCAACGTCACCAACACCCAGCAGCGCATGTACGTCATTCCCTCCCTCGCCCTGCTCGCCGCTTTCCAGGCGCCCCGGCTGACTGTCTTCTCCTGCTCCGACCCCCTCCTTTCCCCTGGCCAGTCTGTGCTGCAACTGTGGTGTTGCCATCCCCCCGAACCCCGCCAACATGTGTGTTGACTGTATCCGCAACGAGATCGACATCACTGAGGGCATCAGCAAGCAGCTGGTTATCCAGTTCTGCAGCTCTTGCGAGCGTTACCTCCAGCCGCCCAACCATGTGCGTGCTTCTGCCCTGCCGCGTCCGGTCCTGCGATCGACAACCGTCCCCGCCCCATCCCCCCCCCCCCCCTCTGCTAACCCGATTGAATGGTCTGGCCCCGGCAGTGGGTGGCCGCCGACCTCGAGTCTCGCGAGCTCCTCTCCCTCTGTCTCAAGCGTGTACGTGCCTCGATGGCGCCCTGTCCCCGTCTCTATCCCATGTTCTCCTCTTTCTCCGGGCTCACCTCCTGACACTGCCCGATTCCCCTCCCTCACTCTCTCGCCCCCCCCCCTGGCCTGCGCACACAGATGAAGGGCATGAACAAGGTCCGCCTCGTGGACGCCGGCTTCATTTGGACCGAGCCGCACTCCAAGCGCCTCAAGGTGAAGCTCACCATCCAGAAGGAGGTGCACGCGGGCATGATCCTGCAGCAGGTGTTTGTGGTGGACTTCGTCGTGGCCGGCATGATGTGTGAGGATTGCCACCGCGTGGAGGCCAAGGACATGTGGCGCGCGTGCGTGCAGGTCCGCCAGAAGGTCCCGCACAAGCGCACCTTCTTCTACCTGGAGCAGCTGATCATCAAGCACCAGCAGCACCGGTACACCACCAACATCAAGGAGACTCCGGATGGCATTGACTTCTTCTTCGCCAACAAGACCCACGCGTCCAAGTTCCACGACTTCGTGGCCTCGGTCTGTCCCACCCGGTACAAGGTGTCGGAGGAGGTGATCTCCATCGATGTTCACGCCCACACGGCCAACTACAAGTACACCTACTCCGTGGAGATGGTCCCCATCTGTCGTGATGATCTGATCTGCCTGCCGCGCTCGCTGCGTGCGCACCTCGGCAACATGGGTCCCCTGGTTCTGTGCAGCAAGATCGGTAACAGTGTGCACCTGGTCGACCCGAACACCCTGCAGAGTGCGTGACGCCACACCCGCGCGACCCTTCCCTGATGTGGCATTTGTGCCCCCCCCCCCCTCCCCTCCCCTTGGCTGACTTTCGCCCCTTCGCGCGTCGGCTGTGGTGGCTTTCGGTCGTGCTGGCAGTCGCCGAAATGTCGGCCGCCAGCTACTGGCGCTCGCCCTTCACCACGCTCTGCAACATCAAGAGCCTCACCGAGTACATCGTGCTGGATGTGGAGCCTCTCGGCCCGGTGCGCGGCAAGAACGTCCTCTGTGAGATGGAGCTGGCTCGCAAGTCGGACTTCGGCTTCAATGATACCACCTTCTTCGTTCGCTCGCACCTGGGTGCCATCCTGCAGCCCGGCGACAGCTGCCTCGGCTATGACATTGCCAATGCCAACTTCAACAGCGATCATTTCGAGGAGTACAACCGCGCCGAGCTGCCTGATGTGGTACGTTGCTTGGTGGTGCCGGCTCCGCTCGCGCGTGCATGCCAGTGGACCGGGTGAATGTCCGGTCCTTCTGTGCCTGGGCGTGTCTCCCTTCCTCTGCCCTCCTCCTTCTCTCTTTCCCTCTCTCTCTCTCTCTCTTCTCCCTTCCTCACACACACATACATTCCGCTATTCCCTTCTCATCTAACACCATACACTTGCCCCCGCCCTCTCCCGGCACATTCCAGATCGTTGTCAAGAAGGCCTACTCCAACAGCCGCCGCAAGCGCCGCAACCGCAACTGGAAGCTCCAGCACATCACCAACGAGACTGCCATCTCTGGCCCGGTGGACAAGCGCAAGGGCCCGGCCACCCACGAGGACTACGAGCAGTTCCTGCGTGACCTGGAGGAGGACTTCGAGTTCCGCTCTGCCATCAACCTGTACAAGTGTGCGTCCCTCCGCCAGACTCAGGTCATGTTGCTCCCTTCCCCCTCCCTCGTCGGTGCCCATCAGTGCTTCCTCTTGAAGACCTTGCCCGCTCGTTTGCTTGCTCGCTCTTTCCCCTTTGTCCCCCTCCCTCCCTCCTTGCACTCCCCACCCCTGCCCGGCTGCTGACCAAATCACGCGCACATGTGCATCGTACCCCCCCCCCCCCACACACGCTATGTTCTCTCTGCAGCCGCCAACCAGCCTGCTCTGCCGGTTCATGGCGAGGAGTCGAATATGGACACCGACTTCGACGACGATGCCGAGATCCCGGAGATCGACATCGACGAGCTTCTCGACGACATGGCTGAGATGAACATCGCCGACGTGGAGATGGCCGGCGACGGGGTGTAAGTGCCCTTGCACTGTATGTACGTGCGTGTGGAGGTGTCTGCGGCACGGGCACCGACCTAGTAGCGAGGCACACCCAGACACACACACACATGCACATGTGCACATATGCATCCACCAAACGACGCCGGGGTATGTGTATACATTATATATATATGTGTATGTACGTCTCTCCTGTCACATGTGCCTAGTTTGCCCTGCCCCGCTGTGCGCTGCTGTCCTCCCTCCCCTGCCGCCATTCTCTGCCCCATGGTGTGGCCAGTTGTGGCTGCATGGGGAGGAGGTGTGCCAAGCCCACTTGCGAAAGAGGAAGGCGGCTTTGGCACCGCGGCGCGTGAGATATTGCCCCCTGGTGTGCTGTACTTTTACCCCTCCCCCAGATCTTCTCCTCCCCTCCGCCTCTGGCGTCCCACGTCAGTCCCTGTAGATTGTCCCTTCTCTCCCCTTCCCCCCCCCCCTTTCCCCTCCTTCCCCTGCTACGCTGCAGAGCATGCCCATTGCCCCCCCCCCTTTTTCCGGGGATGGTACGAATTCGTGTGCCAACCATGCGCGAGCGCCCTTGCACATTGTCCCTCCCAGAATAAACCCTCATCAATGAAAATAGGGCGTTATTACGGTGCCTTTCCAGGATGAATGAGTGGCAGGGATCAAGGGCAGTGAAGAGAAGGAGAGAGAGAGAGAGAGAGAGAGAAGAAAGAGAGAGAGACAGTGAAGGAGCCGGGCGCAAATGCCGAGCGGGAACAGAGGGGAATGTATTTGCGGCGCTACCCGGGTGCCGGTGGCGATGGCGGTGATGGCGGCGGTCCGGCTGGAGGGCGGTCTGTCGATACAGGAGGTGGCCCCTTGCGCTGGCGGGCTTGGACTTGGCGCAGTTCGGCGTCGCGCTCGGCCGCATTTGTACGTGTTCGCTCGGGCACCCAGCGCCGGAGGGGAACCCATTGAACATGTGCCCCGGCCAGGAAGTCGTCCAGCGCTTGAGAGCGCTGATGCTCCACGGCTCCGGCCGGCTGGTCCGAGTGCACGAAAGCAACGGAGAAGTCCTTGGACACTTGGTTGCTGATGCGCACCAGCCGGGCAACAGTTCGCCAGTCAGGTGAGCCCTGGGCTCCATGTGTCGAGACCCCGGGACAGCCAGAGGTGATGGCCGATGGATCGGTGGCGTTCCAGACCGGCGTGACCAGCACCGAGAAGGTGGCATGGAAAAGTGCCGGCGATTGGAGGTAGAGCACTGAGCGGGAATCAAGGGGAGCAGGGAGAGAGAGAGAGAGAGATAGCGGGAAGGAGTGAGAAAGGGAGAAGGCATGAATCGGATGAAAAGGAGGTCAGCTCAAACAAGCCCACATGGCCAGGCTCTGATCCCGCCCTCGCCCGTGGCCGCCGCCGCCGCCCCGCAGCGCATGAGTGAGAACGCACAGAAGTCCACTCCATACTTCAGACCATCCTTCGGGGTCCAGCCTCGGCCACGGGCATACACGTAGAAGGCGTACCGCGGGCCGAAGCTCGGGACCGAGAGACAGATCTCGGCAAAGAGTTCCGACGCGGACATTGGCCCGGAGGCGTGAGCACCGGCCGCCACAGTGGCTGGCCCCTTGTCATCGACCGGCGGGCTGCGCAGCAGTGCTCCAATGGCTTCGGGTCCGGGATTGGCGGTTGGGCGCCGGAAAATGGTGAGAACTTCCAGCACGTGGCACAAGTAGAGAGCCTCCTCCAGGGAGAGGACAATGTCCGACCCGAGTGTGGATGTGGACAGACGCGGCGGTCCAGCGAAAGCGGCCGGGGCATTCGGGGCGTCCACGCCGGAGTGTGCCTGGCGAAAGCGCTTGCGCTGTCGGCTGCGCTGCTGCAGCCAGTGCACCGATATCCCAAAATATCCGTGAGAGAGGAGGTGTCGCGAGCGCTCGGGCGGCTCAACGAGGCTGGGGAGGGGGGAAGGGGGTGGCAGTCGTTTGAGAACCAACATGGATACAGAGAGACAGAGAGGGAGATATATATATATATATATAGAGAGAGAGAATGTCAATGGGCGGGCCCGTGCGGGGGGATGAGCGAACTCACTGGCGGATGGCGGCCACGCACTCAATTTGCCGATGTGTCGGATCCCAGTGGGCAACCAGAGGCCGATCTAGACAGTGGCAATCGAGGCCCAGATCACAGGGCATCACCTCGAGGGCTGGGTCGCCGGCCGTGCCGGCGGCAGTGCGCCGCCGGCGCTTCGGCTGTGGCTGCCGGAGAAGATCGACGTCCTCCATGGAGGGCCAGAGGGAGGGGCTGCACCGGCGGGGCGACTTGCCACGAGACAAGCAGGAAGGACCAGCGGGCTCCCAGCGAGTGGGCGTTTCGGGAAGGGAAAGACGCGGGAGAGAGGGAGGCGCCGAGGGACGCAGGCAGTGCGGAGGGGCGAAGGAAAGAACGAGGGACAGGGGCGGAGCAGGTGCGTGTGGCCGGGAGGAGCAGAGCGCGCGGGCGGGTGTTTTTTTTTTTTTTCCTTTCACCCAGCCGACAACGCGCGGACCCAGGCAGCACGCCGGTTGCCCTCGATTGCGGGTTTTCCCGTCCGGCGGTGCAGGGTCTTAGATCGCAGATCGCCCGCGAGTGACAACGGTTTCCCAGGGTTGGCACCTTGAAGGCTGGTGGCCTCCCTCGGTTGTGGATACGCCCCCTTGGGAGGCGGCCCCCCTCCTCGCCTTTCATGCTGTGGTCGCATCTCAGGTGCCGACTTCTGGTGCCGATTGTGGCCGGCGGCATCCAAGCGCCACCGGGGCCGCCAGCCGTGCGCCCGACCACCGGCCACTGAGACTCACCTCCCTCCCTCTCCCTCTCCCCCTCCCTCTCCCCCTCCCTCTCCCTCTCTCTCCTTCGCTCGTTCGCTCGTCTTCTTTTGCTCCTTCTCTTTCGCCCCGAACACGCCGACACACTCACGCGCACATACACACGGGTACCCTGCCTCGCGCTCCGCCCTCTGGCCGAACTCCGCGTGCGAGGGCGGACGGTGTGTCGCGCGTGTAAAACGGCATATCTTTCATCGCCTCTCCTTTTTGCGTGGACCTGATCGCCCCCGGGGCGCCCCCGTATCAGCATGCCGTCGCTCATCAAAATCACCATCCTCGGCGCTCGGAATCTTCCCTGCTCCAGCCGATCGGTGGAATTCAGCGCTGAGGCTTTCCTCGGCGAGCGTCTGTTGGAACGGACCGGCAAATCTGCGTATGCATCCCACCCCCCCTTCCCCTTGCTTCCCCCCTCTGGCCCTTGATCCTCGCCCTCCTCTCAAAAGCATGCTGCCCCTGCACAGTCGCCGCCCT